ACATAGGGCCTCCATTCCCTAGTCGCCTTTTTGCCAACTTTAGGGCTCCAATCCCTGTGTTGAGATTTTTAGACATAGGGCCTCCATTCTCTAGTCGCTTTTTTTACCAACATTAGGGCTCCAATCTCTGAGTTGAGATTTTAGACATAGGGTCTCCAATCCATAGTCGCCTTTTTACCAACATTAGGGCTCCAATCCCTGAGTTGAGATTTTAGACATAGGTTCTCCATTCCCTAGTCGCCTTTTTTACCAACATTAGGGCTCCAATCCCTGAGTTGAGATTTTTAGACATAGGGCCTCCATTCCCTAGTCGCCTTTTTGCCAACATTAGGGCTCCAATCCCTGTGTTGAGATTTTTAGACATAGGGCCTCCATTCTCTAGTCGCCTTTTTTACCAACATTAGGGCTCCAATCCCTGAGTTGAGATTTTTAGACATAGGGCCTCCATTCCCTAGTCGCCTTTTTTACCAACATTAGGGCTCCAATCCCTGAGTTGAGATTTTTAGACATAGGGCCTCCATTCCCTAGTCGCCTTTTTACCAACATTAGGGCTCCAATCCCTGAGTTGAGATTTTAGACATAGGTTCTCCATTCCCTAGTCGCCTTTTTACTAACATTAGGGCTCCAATGCCTGAGTTGAGATTATTAGACATAGGGCCCCCATTCCCTAATCGCCTTTTTTACCAACTTTAGGGCTCCAATCCCTGAGTTGAGATTTTAGACATAGGGTCTCCATTCCCTAGTCGCGTTTTTTCCAACATTAGGGCTCCAATCTCTGAGTTGAGATTTTTAGACATAGGGCCTCCATTCCTTAGTCGACTTTTGCCAACATAGGGCTCCATTCCCTAGTTGAGACTTTTTAGACATAGGGCCTCCATTTCCTAGTCGCTTTTTTTGTCAACATAGAGCCTCCATTCTCTAGTTGAGAATTTTAGATATAGGGCTCCATCCCTAATCTTTCCTCCTAAAGACACACAATCCTTATTTTATCGCTTTCAAAAAAAGAAAAAAAAAAGGTTTGGATCTTAGTTACAAATAACTCACGAAATTTTCCTAGTGAAAACTGGGGCAGAAAATTTCGTTCATTTGTTTGTTGTGGTGTCTGAGCAGGTTTTACCTCGAGGCATAGGGTTCGAGATGACCGAAAGTAGAAGTCTTGATCCAGAATAAAGAAAAAGAAGAAAAAGAGCAAAAAGAGGTGAACTCAAAGTGCTGAAGCGGAGAAAGACGCGGACTGCTCAAGATATGATTGAAATCACAAGCTTCGCATGTCCCACCTTGATCCAAAGCTGAAGAATGAACTAGCGGCTACAGCTAATGAGCATCAAGATTCAGATCCGAGTCTGCAGCAAGAACCAGCCAAGACTCAAGATCAAGCTTCTGAAGATTTATAGATAGGAATATTGTAACTCATAGTTTATAGGCATAGCTTGTTTAGTTTTTATTTTCTATTTTGGTGTAATAAGGAGCTCAGCAAGCAGAAACAGCAGAAACAGCAGTGAAATCACAGTTTTTCGGTACTCCCAGCTACCAAAACTTCAAGAACTACACTGACCTGATTCCTTTATAGCCAAGGATATGTAGGCAACCTCTGAAGCAGGGTTCTGTCAGGCTCTTTTTAAAAATGCTTCTCATGAAGTTTCAAACAGGCAAAAATCCCTCATATTGCTTACTTTATCTTTGCCCAAAAACCCTTCATGTTTCCGAGCAAAGAGGGCAGCTATAAGCACGTGATTTTTGCCCTATACGAAATACTCCTATAAAATCCCAAAAAATAGATTTTTTTTAATTATTTGCCATTTTAGGAATTTTTGTAGAATTTTATGCATTTTGTGCATGTTTAAGTTTTGTTTAAATCATGAAAAATATCAAAAATATCACACATGACATTTAGGCTTTATTTTTACATTGTTAAGATCAACCGGTAGTTACTTGTTTTATAAAAATTGAAAATCACAAAAATTGCTTCATTTTTAAACTCTTTCCTTTTATTGATTTTTGTCTTTTAATTTAGGATTAAGTAATTTTTATAATTTTTGTAATTAATTAATTAGTTTAATTTCACATTTTTAGATAACCTAGGATTTTAATTTTAGGATTTTTAATTAAAGAAAAAGAAAAAGAAAGATAAGAAAAAGAATTTGAAGAAAAGATTTAATTGGATATTGAGCTAGTTCTTGTACCCAAATTAGACTCAAATTTTTCTACCTAGCCCATAATTCCCAAACCCATACCTAATCCCTACATAACCCTTACACCCCAAAATCCTAGAACTTTAGAAGATAGAGAAAAAGGGCAGACATCGGCTCTTCTTCTCCATTTTTCCTTTCCTTTCCTGGGCCTCTCACTCAGGGCCTCTCACTCAGCTTCCATGGACCTCCATCAACACCTCCCTTGACCGCGCTAACTGATCCCTCCCTATATTTCCCATCACATACATCTGAAACAGCTAAGAGAAAGAACCTAAATCTCGAAAAAATTGAGATTCAAAAAAAATAAAGAAAAAGAGATCTGAAAACAAAAGGAAAAAACAGAAGATTTCAAGTGATTTTATTTTTGCTGATTCGGGAAAGCTATCTCCATTCGTTTCTGGGTTGCAGATCTGTGAATTGATTGCAATGCGCTGCTGTTGTTTTTTTTCCCGCCGAGTTCGTAGCTGAGCTCAATATTCTGCTGCAATTAGCATGTATTTGGCTTCCTTTTCTTCAAAATTAAGTCCTTGAGTATATAGGTTTGTTCCTCACTCAACTATCCTAAGATCTGTTCTAGATAGTAAATCATGAGCTTGTTTAATTCATGTATCGCTAATGCTGGCATTTATTTGTGTGTATATTAATTCCAACAATGAATAGAATTTGGTTAAATCCAATTGCAATCCATTTATTGGTTAAATTTTCATTGCTTGAAATGTGGACAATTTGCTAATATTCATGTGACAGTAGCTACCCATGAGAATTCACGGAAAGAGTATGAATTGGGTTTGCTTTTTAGTGTCGAATATGGCTAAGCATCTGTTGTAAAAATGGTTAAGTTTTTTTTTCCCCTTTTTTTTCCTTCTTCAATAAATACTGTTCAAAATTTTATTTGGGTGATTTTATAGGATGAGCTGTGATCGAAAGTTTCAAATCATTTATGATGCAGTAAATTAGAGTTTTATTTGGTTTACCAAGGTTAAAATATGTTAGACCCAATCACAAGTTATCTTAGCGTAATTCTCTTTCACTATCAAATGATATTATTCTCTAAAGATAAGTAGTATCTAAACAGCATCACAAATGTAGATTAAAGTCCAGATTCTTGGCAAATACGTGATTCAACAATAACTCAAATTGGGCTTAGTTGATTGTATATCCTGTCCTCAATAGATTATTCCATAACGGAATCATGAGTATCCGTGGTTTGCTTTAGTTGAGTACAATCTTTTGAAATAAATTGAGGTGTGTCATGCCAAATAAAATCTCAAAACCATTGGTCCTCACTTAATTAATTTTAATCCTTTAGAAATCGAGGTGTGCCATTAGTTGAATTTTCCATGGCCCTCGCAAAGTTGAAAGTGTGTTTAGGCGCGCCATTTAAAAATTACCTTCCTAAACTCGGGTGTGCATTTCATGTAACTCAAATCGAAATCTCAACAACGTTAAATAAAATGTGTCTCGGATTGCGGGTGCATTTCACGTGGCGTGGTCCAAAGATGCATTTTAGGTGACGTTGAAATCTTCTTAAAAATAATTAAAAGCGGTTAATAAGTTGTAATTGAACCATAGGCTAAAACATGTATTAAAATCAGATAATAGGCCAATTATGATAGTTTAAGCGACCGTGCCAGAACCACGGAATCCGGGGGTGCCTAACACCTTCCCTCGGGTTAACAGAATTTCTTATTCAGAATTTCTGGTTCGCAGACTTCAAAAGGAAAGTCGAAATTTTCCTCGATTTGGGATTTAAAATAAACCGGTGACTTGGGACACCAGAAAACAAACCATCCCAAGTGGCGACTCTGAACCAAAAATGAATAGATAATCCCATTTCGAATAATGTCACTTAAATTGGAAAAACTCCCTTATATCACCTTCGAGTGTGTAAAAAGGAGGTGTGACATCAGTTAAAAGATAATAGTATAAAATAATTACACAATTAGGTATTATGTCAAACCTGAAAACTTTTAGTAGAAAAATGTTCCTTTATCAACCACTCCCATTGTTTCTTGTCTACCCCCTTGGGCACATTCTTAAGAGCCTCTAGTATTGGCTTACCCTTCACATACTTTGCATGCAATTGTCCTCTCCATTTGTTCCATAACTCTTTCATCCATCCCAAAATATGATTGCGATGAATATCCATGTCATCACTCTCAAATTTATCCTAGAATATATCATGAGGAAAATATTGGTTGATATCCAATCATCGCAGAAACACCATGTGATAGAGGAAAATATAGTTCTACAATGAGTCTTGGAATGATCTGGCCAAATTATTAAAAAAAAAAACCTTAGCTTTATTTTATTTTCGTCAATTTCAAACATAGAACTCACAACTTTATTTTATTTTTGTGAAAAACGTGATAAGAGCTCAATAATAAGTGCCAAGAATGGTAAGAAAAGAGGAATCAAAGAAGAAATTGGAATAATCCATCCAGTTACTCTCACAGCTGCCCACATGTGATTTAACTTTTCCTCCTTAATGTGATCCCACGATGATACCCCCAGCTGGCAGATATTACGGTCACGAACTATTTTTCCCAAGTGCCTCGAAAATAGATTACTATTCTTTCCAGCCGTTCGATTATTGTAAAATGTTACTTTTAGCTTCTCTCCAACTTCAACTGATGCAACTTCTTTGCACTTGTTACTTCCTCGAACCTTTTTTTACCTTTTCAGCAGTACATGAACCTACATTTTCTTAATTTATAAACATCAGAAAATATTGTAAAAGTGATAAACATGTGATCAAATAGATTTGAGAAACCATATTGTTTCAACTGTTTGGGTGGACGACATAACAAGATCAATAGAAGGAGAAAATGGAATATCAGTTTGCATATTCTCTTTCTCATGAACCAAAGAGTTAATATTCTTTGTTCACAATCCTTGAGCGGCAAACACGGTAGAGTCTAATCTTGTACTCTTAGAAGGTCTTGACATACTTTGACTTGCATAATGAGCATTCTGATGAAAGGACCGTTCCTCATTTTAAGACTCTTCAAAGGAGCACATAGATCTAAGTTCTCGCCCTCGTCCTTTGTAACTGATATAAGAAATTATATTACTAAAAGTTTGGCATTAAATTAAATTCAGTTAAAAAAAAGAATAGAAATGAGAATTTACAACACATTACGCCGTAAGCTGTTTTCATTATTTTACGACGATGCATTTCCAACTTCAAAAGGAAAAAGAGGCGCATGGTACTGGTGTTTACTTGCTTATGATTTACAGGTTTCTTCTTATGATATCCTCTGTGATGTTAACTGTGGTGTTTTATTTTCATAGAAATACTAGAGAGACATACTTGATGTTTTATTGTCTGTTCACTACGAACAGGATTATCACTTGCAGTGAGGGTCTTAAATTGACCTCTATAGCAAGTGGATCCCATAGACATCAAAAGCATTTGCATGATGTATGAACATATCCATGGATTGATGAAGATGTGTTGAATCCCCATGAGAAAATGAAGAATGCATACACAGTTATAGATAAGAAGGAAAGGTAGCTTAACAATGATAACATCCAGAATTGGCCTAAGAAGGGTCGAGTTTATCCTCGTTTATCGAGCAAGACAGGTGTTGATGCAGTTGGGGCTGCTGTTCTTCATTGCTGTGTTCTGGGGTTTTTTTCCAGTTTTCACAGCAATCTTCACATTTCCACAAGAAAGGGCAATGCTGAACAAGGAACGATCTGCTGACATGTATAGATTAAGCGCATATTTTTTGGCTAGAACCACCAGTGATATACCACTGGATCTTATAATGTCAGTGCTCTTCCTTTTAGTGGTATATTTCATGGCAGGATTGAAACATGAGGATGATGCCTTCTTCCTAACTGTGCTTACAACTTTCCTCTGCATTGTAGCAGCTCAGGTATTCCATTTTTTTTTTACCTTTTTCATGTATAAACTGAGTGTTTCCCTACCTTGGCAATTTGAATAATCCTTACTTCATTGTTGGCAGGGATTAGGACTAGCAATAGGGGCTATACTAATGGATTTAAAGAAGGCAACCACTTTTGCCTCTGTTACTGTAATGACCTTTATGTTAGCTAGTGGATATTTTGTAAAGGTTAGGATGCACTATCCTCTCACATCGAAATAATTTACCGTAGAAACTGTAGTTTTGATATAGGATTTGAATTCTGCAGAAAGTACCGGTATTTATATCGTGGTTACGGTACCTATCCTATAACTATCAGACGTACAAACTCCTTCTAAAGGTTCAATATAAGGAGAAAAATGACTGGGTGGATGGAATTAAAGTAGGAAGCGGTGTAAAGGAAGTATGTATATTACTAGCTATGGTTTTTGGCTACCGGCTCCTAGCATACATATCTTTGCGGAGAATGAAGCTTCACTCAGGTGCTTAGATGATGCAAATGATGGTTCATTTCAAACTAAAGAACTAGTCTATGCAGCTTCCACTGATTATAGAGGTACCTGATTCTGATATAAGTTGCAGCACAAGGAAAGAAGATTTGGCTGCAACGCCTGATGAAGTTCTAATTTTTCGTTTTCTGTTTACCTCTACGCATAGTTGTAAATTTTTAAATCTACTAGAAACTAGAAACAAAAATGAACTGTATGTAGAATGTTCCTATAGTTGCTGAGATGGAGATCATATTCATGATTACTCCTTTAAAATTTTGGTTCCATTGTACCTTTGTTTGCAGCAGTTTCCAAAGTAAAAACTGAGACACAAGAGTTTACTTTTAAAAATCCAAAGATTGCATTAGCATGTCTGTGCATGTCAAACCTGAATTAGTTTCACATTCAGAAGGCCCCAGAGCTCAGGAACATGGTACTACGGGAAAAATTAGTGGTGATGATTAAAAAAAGAGATAACTACAGTGAGTATAAGGAAAAAAACTACTTGGAGATTTGGTTGGGGTGAGAAATTAATAGCCCCTTCCTTCCAACTTAGGACCAGGAAACATGTAATAAGAAAGAGCTCATATGCACCGCGTCAGGCAGGTCAAAAAAGCAATGATAGAGAAGAGATATGTGGGTTGGCAGACCTAATGCACCTTAGTAGTTACCAATAGTTATTAATAGAAAAACTAGCATTTACTAGGTGTGAGTAGTTTATAAACGTTAATAACAGGATGTCTTTGTCTGTGCATGATTCATGTTTCAGTTGTATACTTGTATGCCTTTATTGCTATTTATTCACTACCAATATTTCTCAAGGACATATCCTAAGTGTAAGATGAAAAGGTATGTCATTAATCTTGCTAGGTCTTTTAAACTCATGGATATTGTGTTATGCAGGTCCTACATTTAGAAATATGCTAAATTTCTCAATAAAAACAACACATACTTGTTTCATCTTTTTGGGTGGATTGCATAACTTGATCGTCAGAAGGAGAAATTGGAATATCACTTTGCATATGCTCTTTCTCATGAACCAAAAGGTTTTTGTTCGTTGTTTGCAATCCTTGCGCAGCAATCATGGTACTCTTAGAAGGTTTTGACATACTTTGACTAGCATAATGACCATTCTGATGGAAGAATCGTTTCTCATTTTCAGACTCATCAAAGGAGCACATAGATCTAAGCTCTCGCCCTCGTCCTTTCCCTAGAGTACCTGCTGTAAGAAATCATATTACTAAAAGTTTCACATTAAATTAAATTTAGTTCTGAAAAAAGAATATAGTTGAGAAACTATACTTGTTTCAACTTTTTGGGTGGACTGCATAACTTGCTCATTGGAAGGAGAAATTGGAATATCACTTTGATATGCTCTTTCTCATGAACCAAAAGGTTTTTGTTCGTTGTTCGCAGTCCTTGAGCAAAAGGCATGGTAATATCTGATCTTCTACTGTTAGAAGGTCTTGAATACTTTGACTAGTATAATGAGTATTCTGATGGAAGGATCGCTCCTCATTTTCACACTCTTCAAGGGAGCGCATAGATCTATGCTCTTGCCCTCGTCCCTTCTCTAGAGCACCTGGTGCAGGAAATCATATTAGTACAAAAAATCAAATATAAATAATTACAAATTTGATTTTAAAAGATAATAACTTTAATAAACCCTACTCATTGAATTTTTTTGGATGTATTTCATAACATCATTAGTAGATGAAAAAGATGGAATATTAATTTGCATATTCCCTTTCTCAAGAACCAATGAATTTTTATTCGTTGGTCCCATTCTAGATACCCCCAAAGAACACATAGATCTAAGCCCTCGCCCTCGTCTCTTCGCTACTGCACCTGGTATAAGGAAATCATATTAGTAAAGGTTTAGCACTGAATTGATAGCACAATAAATTTGAGAAACCATACTAGTTTCAACACTTTGGTTGTATTGCATAACTTGATCAGTAGATGGAGAAAATGGAATATCTGGTCCAGATACCCCTAAAGAGCATATAGATTTAAGCCCTCTCCTTCGTCCCTTCCCTATAGCACCTGGTGCAACAAATGCATATTTGGTAGTAGCTTTCACAATGGATGCCACTTCATTTTCATTCTTTGATGGTTTCATATCAAACCTACGAAAAATCAAATTAAGACATTATAACAATAATGTACTAATAAAAAGATCATGTAATCAGAATGCATAACAATATAAATATGGTAATGGTATAAAGAGATACTTCACCTCAGTTGTTCTTTTTCGTTTATTTTGTATAGGACTTTCTAAATCAACATCACCATCTATTTGTTGCAAAATTTCATAGGAATCACGAGGTTGCGTCTTTCTTGCTACACGCCAACCCTTATTGGAGTTATCATTAGCATAAAATACTTGATATGCCTGATCCGCTAATACAAAAGGCTCATTTATTTTCAAAAATCGTCCCCAATTAACACTTAAAATGCCATATTCATCTGTTTTAATTCCTTTCTTTTTATCATACACATCAAACCAATTACATTGAAACGAAATTACTCTTCTTCCGGTAAATTGCAATTCAACAACATCAGTTAAAACTCCATAGTAATTAATATTCTTACTATGTTCACTAGTCTCACCAACAACAACCACACCAAAATTTTGAGTCCTTAAATGTTTATCATAATCTTCTACATGAAATCTATATCCATTAACAATGTATCCAGTATAATGTAATACATATTGGGTAGGACCACGTGAAAGTGCAAGGAGATCTTCCATGAGCCGACTATCATCTCCTTTATACAATTGTGCAACGTATCAACAAGATAAAGTTGATTACTCTAGAATAAGTAATATAATATTGGATTTTCAAATTTGATATGTATATATTACTCAACCTATCTTTAAACCATTCGATAAATTATCTGTTCTATTCTGTATCAGACAAGTGTTGAGTAGAATCTACATGAATTTGTGCGAACTCTCTATAAATTTTAGTTGAACCATAAATGTCAAACATAAAAGAGAAAAAATCCTACAGGAAACAAGGAAAACAAAATATGATATGAAGGAAAAAATTTCATACTCTAGAAATGGTAGAACTTCATCACAATTCTTCAGTATATATATATGTGCTTGCTCCAATTCATCTGCTTCAAGATCATGATGTTTTGGAGCTCCTAAAGTTTTTTCAGATTTACAAAATAGAGATAAACCTCCATCAGAATATCTTAAACCACCATCAGATTTTGTTCTGGCCGATTAAAGTTTGTGTCGATTCTATGCAGATACCTTGAACATAAGGTCATACATTTATTTGCAAGTTAACCTTCTGCAATGGAACCTTCTGGACAAGCCCTATTACCAATGAGTGATTTCAAAAAATATAACCATCGTTCAATCGAATACACCCACCGATACTGAACAGGTCCAGCAAGCTTAGCTTCATTAGCTAAGTGAGTAGGCAAGTGCACCATGACATCAAAAAATGAAGGAGGAAAGACCTTTTCTAACTTGCAAAAAGTTATAGGAATTTGAGCTTCAATCTGACCCAAGTCATCAGTCCTTAATACCTTTGCTCCCAGCACATTAAAAAATAAAGACAACTCGATAAGGGGTTCACACACAACTTTCGACAACATACCACGTAGTGCAAGAGGGAGTAAATATTGTAGAAGAACATGACAATCATGACTCTTTAAGCCTGAAATCTTGTGCTCTTTCAAGTTAACACATTGAGAAATATTAGATGAAAATGCATCTGGAACCTTTAAATTCTTTAAGAAAAGGCATATTTTGTGCTTTTCTTTGGGAGATAATGTGTAACATGCAGTTGGAACTTCATATTTTTCTCCATTTTTAATAGGGTGCAATTCCGGCCTAATGTTCATTTCTTGCAAATCTAGTCGAGTTTTAATGATATCCTTGGTCTTTCCTTTGGCATTTATGATCGTCCCCAAAATATTATCACATATATTTTTTCCGATATGCATAACATCCAAATTATGTCGCAACAAGAGAGATTTCCAGTATGGAAGGTCAAAAAAGATACTCCTCTTATTCCAGTTATCTTTTCGAACATCATGTAATATCTTGATCCTCTTCTTTGGATCCTTTGTCAATTGTAACCCTTTAAGATCTTGCACTTGATTAAGTATCGCAATACCTGAACGCACTTTTGGTGGGAGCCTTTTCTCTTTTGTGCCATCAAATGATTCCTTATCATTCCTCCATTTGTGATTAAGAGGAAGGTAACGTCTATGACCCATAAAATATTATTTCTTACTATTCTTCAATATGATTGAGGAAGTGTCAATGTTGCAACATGGACATGCCAATTTACCTTTTGTACTCCATCCAGATAAATTTTCATATGCTGAAAAGTCATTGATGGTCCACAGCAAAGAAGGATGTAACTTAAAATTCTGTTTGGTTGATGCATCAAAGGTCTCAATGCCAATTTCCCATAACTCCTTTAATTCCTCTATCAAGGGTTGAAGATATATGTCAATTGCATCACCTGGACTATTAGAACAAGGAATAAGCATAGACATAATGAAATTTTCCTGTTTCATACACAACCAAGGTGGTAAATTATAAGGAATAAGTACCACAGGCCATATACTATATGAGGTTTTTGAACTCCTAAATGGCTGGAATCCATCACTAGCAAGCCCAAGTCGAACATTACGAGGCTCGACCACAAATGAGGAATGAAGTTCATCAAATGATTTCCATGCCATTGAATCAGCTGGGTGCCTCATTGTTCCATCATCAACTCTTTCATTATGATTCCATGTCATTAGAGAAGATGTCTTTGTAGACATAAACAACCTTTGAAGCCTAGGATTCAACGGAAAATAGCGTAAAGTCTTTGATGCTATTTTTTTACCATTCTTATTCTTTGTTTCTCCGCTATGTTTATTTGTTTTCCATCCGGATGCACCACAGACTTTACAAGAATCAAGTAATTTATCGTCCATCCAATATAACATGCAATCATTTATACAAGCATCAATTTTGTGGTATGACAGCCCAAGGTCCCTAATCACCTTATTTGCCTCATAATATGAATTTGCCACATTCACTTCATCAGGCAACAACTCATCCTTCAATATTTTTAATAACATTATAAATGACTCATTGCTCCAACGACCCATAGTTTTTATGTGAAACAGTTTAATTAAAGTGAAAAGCTTTGAACATTTCGAATTTTGGTATAGTGGCTGTTTGAAATCTTTCAATAGGCTGTAAAACTTTTTGGCTTCAACGTTCGGTTCATCTCCGAGTAAATCATTATCACGAACGTCCGTAGTGCCTC